TCGACTTCTGTCGATATCAAAAGAAACAGGGAAATAACGAACTATGATATTCAGTCGACTTGACAGAGATAAACCAGTAAGTCGACATGAGTCGGCTCGAGAAGGGAAGAGAAGAAAAAAAAAATAAAGTCAGCTGCGTGTATTAAAACCAACCCGATGTTAGAAACACGTCGGCAGCATGAAGATCGCATGTTAAAGATCTAATGCCCAGAAATCACCAGAAAATATCAAGAATTTTGAAGAACACGAAGAACACCCTTGAACTTCCAAAACAAAAAAAGGAGAGAGCCCAGAAAAATAAGTGAAAACTTATGAAAAAGCGAAGGATCAGTAAACTTACTCATGATGGTTGGCTTGAAATTCGGAGAAGTACTAGAAACAAGGATAAACTGAGAACCTTGCAATTGCCGGAGAATTCAGAAAGGATGGGAGTCTGAGAAGTAAAGATCGTGAAAAGTCAGGGGCTTCATAGAAGAAGAGTATTTATAAACCTAATAATGATGTATGGGTCGTTGGATCAAGTTGAGATCTAACGGCCACGATGAAGCGGCAGAATTTGAAGCAGCAAAAGGTGTAATGATGCGTCATCAAAACCCTAATTTCAAAATTTGAAAAGTTGTCAGAATGTCAGACTTATCCAAAGTAATCATATGGGATTGAGTATCCCTGCCGAATGACGAGACGAGTTACCAACAGGACAAGTATGGGCGGATATTGCGATTTAAATCAGATAGGTAAGGCACTCACCACCAAATTTACTCTTAAGCATTCGGCTGATTAGAGTAATTTTTGGGGGGACTAGATGATATAACCATATAAAGATATGTCGGCCCAAAAACTCTTTACTCGACCAGATAATAACTCAGACCGTCCGCGTGTCGATATGTTCCCGTCGACATACTCAAGTGGACTTCCGAAAAGTCGACTCTTCATAGAATGACTGCGACAAAGCAGAGCCTATACAAGTCGACTCCAAGAAGTCGACTTGGCGCAGTCGACTTCCATAGAAGGACCACGAGGAATATGCGGAATCCATGAAAGTCGACTCCTAGAAGTCGACCTCACGTAGTCGACTCCCAAAAGTCAACTTCTCTTTGAGAAGACCAACAAGTGCGTAGCCTCCGAATAATCAAATGACCCTAGGTCGACCTCCCAGTACTCGAGGTCGACTCCTCGCACCTCGAGTCCTGAAATACACTGACGACTCAATACACTTGTGATATTTCTCGGAGTCTCTTGTCCTCCAATGGATAAGAAGGAATCTTGTCATGACTCAGCAATAAGGGGAAACGAATCGACTGGGGTAATTTAGACCTTTCAGGTAAACTGACTGGGGCATTTTGGGTACTTCAAGTAAGTGTTTCCACCTATATAAAAGAGGTCAGGTAACTCTAAACCCTAACTTCCATTCATTCACACTCTCCTCTATTGCTGCTCTCTCAGAGCAGCCTCTCTTCATCTCTTTCACGTACTGACTTGAGCCTCGGAGGCTCTACACCGGAAACACTTCCAGTGTTGAGTTCTTGCAGGTGTTTACGGCGGTCTAGTAGCAGTTCGAGGACGATTCAAGCAGATCTGAGCTCAAAACCATTATTAGTTCACTCCAGATCTGGAAGTAGACCCATCAAAAAGGCACACCCAAAGCAAGTAATGCATAGAAAGGTCGAGCAATTATTGAAAAATCTTAAATAAAATCTCCGGTAAATACCAGCATGCCCAAGAAAACTACGAAAACCTTTTACATTTAGAAGGGGCTGGAGTTGTTCTTGTTGAGATCTATGAGGATCTCGTTATGTACAAGTCACGAATTCAATAGCAAACTTAAAGCTATGCGCAGTAGATTTAAAGGTTTGACGTAGAAAACTTATGGCTTAAAACTTTCTGAATCTGATGGATTTGAGATGACCGGGAGCATAACGTCACGAGGATGCCAGGATCACGAAGGTAGTGGAGGATAGCGGTCGTGTGGCTGCGTCAGGTCGTCAGTCGGATCGCGGGATGCCGGCGGTGGGTCAGCTCGTCGCAGCGTCTCGTCCGGCGGGCTGAGGTCGACGGATCACGGCGGCGGGTCGTGGTTCGTTGGCTCCAGTAGATGATCTCGATGTCTTGGTTACCTTCGGGATCTTCTACTGTATCACTCAAACACCTCTTCTACTTGTACCGGTGGAGCAACAAGAAGAACATAAAGCTCGAATGAGATCTAGAGAGAGAGGAAGGGGGCGTGCGTGTGTTTTACACTATATGGCTCTTCCATCTCTTCTCACGAGCTTAATGATGTACATAGAGGGATCCTTAAGAGAATAGGACTAGGGCTTCTTAAGTAATGGACTAACTGTGGGCCAGGCCCACTCCTCCAATTACTTAAATAATATTACGGTCCACTAACGTAATATTATTGCACTCCATTTTTCTATCCCAAAGTATATTTGAGACTCCAATAATAATTGCCCTAATTACCTCCGCATGTTTAAGATATAATGTCCATTAATTATTTCGATTACGAACTATCAAGAACTAATTAATATACTATATTACCAAAGCTAGCGCTCGTTCATCACATTATTATTATGCCAGAATTTAGTCTACCTGCAGGGTTTTGCATAAGAATCCTCATGATCTCACTTCGGGGACATCATCAAACTGACGTACATGGTGACTGTAAATATCCTAACCGCACATCATACATACAACAATATTACCCAAAAATGTAAGACTATTGATCCAGTGAACTGAATCTCACCAAGTGAATCAAAGTAATACATACTGCATGTATATGTCTGTTTAATATCTTACGAGTTAAGAGAACGCAGTAATTAATCGAGGCCTAGTTCGTTTATGACGATCAGGATAAAACGAACTTCTCATCTCTGGGATCTTGTTCAATACATAAATGTACTAGTACAACTAATCAATTAAGACCAACTGTACCGTTAACACTACAACCGTTCTGATGGGGTGTTCATTTCCATCTAGGTTGTGAACCAATAATTCTTGTTTCGCAAATAATTAATAGAATGGCCTTCTGTTCACCTGATGATGACTCATTCTATCTAAGTGCAAAACAACATAACATAGAACTTATTTAATCGAACATGATTCTCATTCATAAAGGGGAAAAGTGTAATATCATCCAAAGTAAGCTTTTAGTATATAACTGTAACGCCCCGTTTTATTTTAAAGAATTTGCGGAATTTATTTAATAAAAATCAGAATATTTTTTTTTTTAAAATCCAAGTTAAAACATTTATCGAGAAACGGGCGCTACTTACTAACCACAACAAACAAATAAAAACACCAAATCAATCAATCGATAGAACCTACACATGCTCGAGCTATAACAACTTTAATAATCATAAATTTCAAAACCATTCCCAAACGACTAGCATGAAAGCAAGGTTCAAACGAAATTCAACATAGTTTGCAAATGACGAAACAAATAATCCAAAGTACGATAGCAATAAATAAATATCAAGTTTATACGGAAGCATTGGCTTTCAACACATAATGACCACCATCTCGCTCGTCCTACGCCACCGCCTCCAGCTCGTCTCATCCTAGAACAAAGGAAGAGAAAAGACAACAAGAAAATAATGGGGGTGAGCAACCAACTAGCTCACCATTATCGCACAGTTATCTCGTATAATTACTTTAAAAAAACAGTATCACGGTAAAACAGGTTCAGTGTCTAGTATGCACAGAGTTCCTAGCCTAAACCCCCTACCCAGCCCTATCGCAAACCTCCTATGTACATACAACAACCTTCCGGATACAACGGCATGGCTGTAACTGGAAACATTTCCACCCCCGGGTACAACGGTTCGCAGGATCCTTTTTGAGGAGACAGCAGAGATGTTTTTTCCCTTCCGGATACAACGGCATGGGGCGTCCCTCCTGGATACAACGGGCAGGCGACCTCCTACTGTTTTCGCATTCATCAAGGCACTAGCATTCGGGACACTTAGACTAGAGTTCTCATGCATACAAAAAAATTTTTCAAAAGAAATACATTACAATTTTCTCTCTGGTGAGAGGCGATTTCTCTCCGGTGAGAGTTTCTTCCTTTGGTGAAGGCAGCTAGATTCCCTTGGTGAGGGAGTTTGTAGTATCCATCTTACCCACTTATACTGGTAAGATTCTACCCTCTTGGCGGACAGTCAAGTTAGACAATGGACAACGGAAATGTAGCAGCCGCAGGGATTGAAGAGGAAATGGCGAAAAGACTACAAGACTTCTCCTTGTCGGGAACTGAAAATGATGTCATTGATATTGCGAACGAGGATATTAAAACCAGTGCGGATGAATGTAGTAGGAGCCTGATTGGGAAAATCATAGGAAACCGGAAAGTATCCTTATTTGGGTTGAAGAGAGCTTTGACAGCAATGTGGAGAACCCAGCATGGACTAGAGGTACGAGAACTTAGCCCCAACTTCTATCAATTTACCTTTGAGCACAGAGGAGATATGGCTAGGGCACGTTTAGGTACCAATTGGATTTTCGAAAACCAATATCTGATTTTACAAGACTGGAAAAGGGGAATTAAAGCCAATGACAGTTGTTTCCAAGAACTTGATATCTGGGTGCAAGTCTTTAATGTCCCCCTAGACTGGCTGAGTATGGAAGTTGGCCTCAAAATTGGGAAAGCTTTCCATGGAGTAAAGAATGCAGGCGTCTCTACCTCTATTGGGGCAGGAGTTAGAATTCTCAGACTTTTGGCTACAGTGAACATCTCCAAACCTCTTCCGAGATGTGCCACTATCAGGCTAGGAGAACAGCTTGTCACTGTTAGTTTCAAATATGAGAGACTAGTTAATTTGTGTTACTACTGTGGAGAAATTGGCCATCTTGATAGGGAATGTAAGAGTAAAATGGAGGACATTGCAAAGGGTGAAGCCAAAAATGGGCAATATGGTGATTGGCTCAAGGCAGGAGAATCAAGAGTGTACAGTAACTCATCGCAGCAAAGCAGATCATATGAGAGAGAGTCTGAGCCATCTACTGATATGAACACCCCACAATCAAAAGAAGCTGACATAAATATTAGAGGTGTAAGAATGCTCACTGACAAACTGGAAGGCTCAAATCCTTCTCAGCCTCAGGAGAAGAGGAACCTAAGCCTGGTGGAATCTAGCTCATCCAGACAAGAAAATCACAGTTCCCAACCAATCTCAATTACCAAGGAACCCCAGGAGTATAACAAAGGGAAGGAGATCATTCACATCTCAGAACAGAACCTGGAGCAATCAACAGAAATGGATCATCAGAGTGTCATCAAGATCCCAACTTCTACCCAAAATATCATAATCAAGCCAATAATCCCTCGGGAACCTTCCCAAACTAAGCTTAAGACCTGGAAGAGAACAGGCACAAAGGTTGGCAGACTCCAGAGGAATCAGAATGAGAGCACCACTCCTACCCAAGGAGTCAAAAGACACAGAACCAGTGGCAACCTAATGGAAACAGAAGATGAAGAGATTGATCCCTCAGAATCAGAAAACAAGAAACTCAGAATCATCCCAGCTCAGGTGGAGAAGGCCAGCCTCAAATGTCCCCAAGGTGACCAATGAGGGCTCTGGTGTGGAACTGTAGAGGCCTGGGTGGGGCCTCCACAGTTTCCCAGCTGAGGGAATCTATAAGATCCCACCACCCTCACTTTATTTTTCTGTCTGAAACCAAAAATAATAAATTTTTTACTACTACTGTTTGCAAGAAACTGGGTTTTGCCAGCAGGAACATGCAAGTGGAGCCAAGAGGACTTAGTGGAGGTCTTCTTTTGGCCTGGACAGCTGAAGTGGAGATTATTGACATGAGATATGAGACTTACTACATAGAAGTCCAGTTTAAAATTAAGGGCCATGATCTCCCTAGATGGCTGATTTTTGTCTATCTTAGCACTGACAAAAGCACCAGAGAAGTTCAATGGGAGGAGTTAGATCAGAAGAAGACTCATTGGGGAGATAACTGGTGCATCATAGGTGACTGGAATGATCTCTCTAAGGCTGAAGACAAGAAAGGAGGCAGGAGGAGAACCCTAACCAGCCTATTGGGGTTTCAAACTTTTATAGCTCAGATGGGGATGGCTGTAGTGATGACCAGAGGATATCCATTTACTTGGGGCAATAACAGAGAACATGAAGGATTTATTGAGGAAGCCCTTGACAAAGCATTTGCCTCCATAGACTGGCTCAGAACTTATCCCAACACAGTGACAACCTCCTTCTTCAAAAGCTCATCTGATCACTATCTTCTAATGCTAGATGATGAACCTCAAAATCCTGACTTCAAGAAGAGGTTCCAATTTGACAAAAGATGGATCAATAGGGAGGGACTAGAAGAGACAATTCAGAAATCCTGGAATGTACAACAATTTGGCACACCACTCTTCTGCCTTAAAGAAAAGATCAAGAACACCAGGGCTGCTCTATTGCAATGGAGTAGGAACTTCAAATCTCAACATCTTTCAAAAGTGCAAGGTTTATCACTCAAGCTAGAAGAAATGAGAGAAGCTGGTGGGAACAGAGATTGGGTTGAATGGGATAGACTCCAAAGAGAAATGGATGAAGCTAACTTGTCAGAGGAGCTCTACTGGCAGCAAAAAGCTAGAACCCAGTGGCTGAAAGAAGGAGATCAAAACACTCAGTTTTTTCATGCCTGGGTTATGCAGAGAAGGAGACTCAATGCAATTAGCAGGCTAGTTGATGATGATCAGAGAGTTTACAACTCCAAAGAGGAAATCCAAGAGCACATTGAGAATTTCTATCAAAACCTGTTCTCTTCTGAGGGGTCTGTGGGGGGAGAAAGCATTCTTCAAGATGTGCCACAATCTATTACAGATTCTGTTAATGAAGATCTCACAGCTCCTGTAGAGGAACCAGAAATCAAGTGTAACGCCCCGTTTTAATTTCAAGAATTTACCGTATTTATTTAATAAAAATCAGAGTTTTTTTTTTTTAAATATAAATTAAAACNTTAATAATAACAATAATAATAGCAAATAAAAATAATAAAAATAATAAAAATAAATCCCAAATAATCCACAAATAAACGGGGCATTACATCAAGCTAGCTCTTTTTTCCATGCATCCCAACAAATCCCCTGGCACAGATGGAATGCCTGCCCTTTTTTTCCAACACTTCTGGCCCCTGATTAAAGATGATTTATGTGCTGCAGTGGTGAGTTTTTTTCAATCTGGCAGGCTCTTAAATTATTGGAATCACACTCTGATTACCCTTGTTCCTAAGTGTGCTAATGCTGACCACCTGAGCCAATTCAGGCCTATAAGTCTTTGTGCAGTGGTCTACAAATTAATCTCCAAAATATTAGCTGGAAGGCTTAGAAACTGTCTTAGTGTCTGCATTCATGAAGCACAATCAGCCTTTCTGCCTGGGAGACAACTAACTGATAATGTGGTCATTGCAAATGAGGGAATCCACTTTTTGAACAGACACCATTCAGGCAAGCACACTTTCATGGCCATTAAGCTTGACATGATGAAGGCCTTCGATAGGATTGAGTGGCACTGCATCAAACTTACTATGCTAAAAATGGGGTTTGCTCATCAGTTTGTCAATTGGATAATGGCATGTGTATCTACAGTCTCATTCTCTTTCTTCCTGAATGGCAGCACTTGTGGACATATCACAGCTCAGAGAGGAATTAGGCAAGGGGACCCACTGTCCCCTTACCTCTTTATTATTGTATCACAAGTCCTATCTGCTATGATCTCATCTGCTCAAGAAAGAGGAACCTACAGAGGCATAACCCTGGCCAGGAATGCTCCTATTCTCACTCATCTGCTTTTTGCAGATGACTCTCTCCTATTTTGCAAGGCTGATGAGTATCAAGCTGGAGTGGTGAAAGCTATTCTTGACAAATATTAGCTCTTCTCAGGTCAGAAAGTCAACACAGCCAAATCCTCTATCTTTTTTAGCAAGAACTCCCCTATTCATACTCAAACCTCAGTCTGCCACTACTTCCCTGGGATTAATATTCAAAGATCTTCGAGATACCTTGGTTTACATTTAGGGATTGGTCATTCTAAGAAGGAAGTGTTTGGGTTTGTAACTGAGGCAGTGAGAAGCAGAGTTCTTAGCTGGAATTCCAAATTTCTTTCAACTGCTGGAAAGGCAGTCCTTGTGCAAGCAGTCCTCAATGCTCTTCCCCTTTTTGTTATGTCTGTCTTCAGATTGCCTGTTGCCATCTGTAAGGAAGTGGTCAGTATCTGTGCCAGATTCTGGTGGAGTAAAGGCTGTGACCATACTAAAGGTATCCATTGGAAGAGATGGGATCTCTTGACACTCTCAAAGAGACAAGGGGGTTTAGGCTTCAAAGATATTGCTCTTTTCAATGATGCTATGATTGTCAAACAGTTGTGGAGGCTCATAACTCAACCCCAACTCCTTATGTGCAGAATCATAAAAAGCAGGTACTTCCCCCAATCTTCCCTCTTTGATGCTGAACTTAAACAGAACTCCTCATGGCTGTGGAGATCTTGGTTCAAAGTAAGATGGCTGCTCAAGGATGGTCTTAATGTGGTCATCAGAAATGGGGTTTCAGTTAGACTCCAGGATTTCCACTGGGTTCCTGGGATTAGAGGAAGAGCACTAAAATTCAAAACAGGCCAAGACAAGGGACAGCTCAGGGTGAATGAACTCTTTACCAATGAAGGTAGATGGGATGAGGAGAAAATCAGAGCTCTGTTTGATGAATATGACTGCACAGAAATTCTCAAAATCAAATCAGTGAACATGGATCAACAGGACACTTGGAGCTGGAATTTTGGGGCTCAAGGGAAGTTCTCTGTTTCCTCCTCTTATGCACACCTACACAAAAGGAAGCTGCTTGCTCTTGATATTCCAGAAGGAAGTGGAACAGCCAAAAGGAACCAGAGCATCAGGCACAGAAGCTGGAATCTGAAGGTAAAAGGTAAATTAAAACACTTCCTGTGGAGTTGCTATTCCAATACTTTGGCTGTTGCTGCTAATCTGAGGAGGAAGGGTATTGAGATTGATGCCATGTGTGGCTGTTGTGGTGAGGCTATAGAGACTGTAGAACACCTTTTTCTGCATTGTCCAAGAGCACAACTGGTTTGGAAGCTAAGCCCGGTTAGTTGGGAGGGGATCTGCAGGGAAGATTACAAGTTCAGTGACTGGTGGGGCACCATCTGCACCATAGGGGACACCAGAGTGGCAGAGGCTAGAATCGAGCTCACCACGTACATTCTCTGGTGGCTATGGAAGTCGAGGAACCTGTGGGTGTTCGAAAAGCAATGGAGACCAGAAAGGAACATCTCAAAAGGGGCTATCAAGGAATGGCAAGAAGCTCAAACCAGATGGAAGTGAAGATGAGTCATTACAAGGTTCTTTCTAGGTCTACTTGTAGTTCAGTGGTTAGATCCTTGTTTTGTACTTTTAGTTAGTATTCATATGTTCTGTATTGGAGGGTTCAGCTATCAGCTGCCTTTGATGTATTGTAGAACATTTGGTTAGTTTTTGCGGTTGTTTAGCCTACTTTGTTAGTAGTGCTCTCTGGCTTTGCCTTCGACTTCGGGCTTGTACCTTTGTATTTGAACCATGTTTCTTCTACTTTTATGAGCATTCCTATCGTTTGTGAAAAAAAAAAAAATAATTTAGAATCTTAATATAAAAGAAATACATTACACGAAATAAGGAGTGCAATAAATATGGAATACATCATAAATGTACTCACCTGATAGCAGCAACAGTTCACAGAATCACAAATCCCGAAATGAGGCGAGGTCAACACCTCTGGACACCTACATTATGTCAAGATCCTACAATGAATATCTATCTTCACTTAAATCGGAAATCCAAGACAGACCTAGTCGAACTTGTTTCGACTAAGCAGTTCGTGAAGTCCTGTGGATGTTGGAACACTAAGACTCGGCACCAAACTCGACCAAACCACATAAGGGAGTTCACATAAATCCATCAAAACGAAAAGCAAGTCGATTCCCAATTTTCATATAAAAATCATGATTCGAAAATAGCAATCATTAATCGCATGAATAAATAGATGGTCAAGCTAACCTACTACTTAGGCTCTGAAAATTTACAAAAAATTACATCTCCCAGAAACATATAAAACCACAAATTTTCAGCTTCAAACTCGAAATACACTATTTTATAAAATTCGAACAAGATATCAACAAAAAGGAAACATCAATTCATACTTCAACTTAAAGAATGAATCAGAACTTGAAAATTTTACACAACAATATCTATCATGCTAAAGTCCATGTATAAAAATCTCAGCTCTGAATGTCGACTGCTACTATTTTTAAAAATTCATACGAGCATCAGCAGTTTATCGAATTTAAATCAAAATCGAATCAATATGGACTCCAAAAATTCCCATCTCTTAAAAACATGATTCAACAAATAAAAGAAGCATTTCAGTAAAATTTCAGAATTTTTCACGAAATAACCAATTTATAAAAATTCAAAAAACGCTTCAGTAGATTCGATAAATAAATTATTAACCACATCAAATCAAGTCCAAATATTCTAAAACTTTAACATAACATATAAAAGTGACAAAGGCATGACATATTCGAATTTCAGCTTATTTGATTCACGAATGAATTTTTTTATGCATTTAACACTATTCTGATCAGATTACATTATAATTATTATAAATAGCAACAGGCTTCTAAAAATCACAAAATTTTTACATAAGGCTGGAAATGAACAGAATACATCACCCTCAAATTTTCAAATCGTTTCGAGCAGCGAGCTATTTTTAAAAATTCAAACACCAAAACAGCAATATAAATGCTCGACAACTTGTCAATTAATTCATAACATGAAATTTCTCGTCCAAGGCCTTTTCATAAGACCAAGGGATCGACATTGTTCCAATATCCACCGACTTACATGACTTTCGAGGTCTCGTTCGATTCTTTAGAAAATCGAAGAGGTCCCGAACATACGATAACACATAAAATCATAATAACACATAATCGCACATATTCACATCAAGCAATTCACACGTATATTACATTGTTCAATGAGCACTTCACGACAATAAACACATTACGAAATAAATCATACACGAGTTAAACGAGACGGAAAAACGACGGGGTACCGTTCTCAGGAAAAACGCGGAAAACAAAACGAACACGAACGGGGCTCGACGGATTCTCGCGTCTCGCCGGAAGGAGAAGATGCTGCAGCGGCTTCGAGAGGGGATGGGTCGCTGCTGCTAGGTCGCCGGACATCGCTGCAAGGTCGTCGGAGGAGAAGCTGCTCGTCGGGCTAAACGGAGAGGTCGCCGGAAGATGACGGGGACCCCTGTGGCGGCTTCGCGGCGCGGCAGAGAGCTTGGGATGGCGTCGCGGCGCGGCGGATGTTCTTGTCGCGGCGTGGCAACGTGACGCAGCGTGGCAGAGGTGCTGGTCGCGGCGCGGCGATGGCGTGAAGAGAATAGTTCGCCGGAAAACGCGATCAGGGGCTGCCGGAAGTTGACCACGGGTTGTTGTGCTCCGGAGGTGATGTGATGACTATGAGATGGTGACAGCGATGGTAATGAGGGATTGAGCGACGAGGATGATGGTGACGACGAGGGATCACGATGAAGATGGACGATGACGGAAGGGGAGATGACGGAAGAGAGACGCGATAAAAGAAAAACGAAAACTGATCTCTCACGAGGGATTTATGATTGCTGCGGTTTATCTGCCTCTCACGCAATGAGGAGAACCAAACATAAATAAGCCTAGGTTTAACTTCTTGACGAGCAAGAAAGAAAAATCCCACGCACAGTAGGAAAAGAACGGGTTTGGGGAAAAAGGGTTAGGATCAGCCGGATTGGGCCAAAGGGGTGGGGCCGGATTTTGGGCTCGCGGGTCAGCTCGCGACGATAAATCGGCTCACGGGCCCGATTACAATTGAAACGGATATTCTCGGGCCCACTTTCGGTTCCAACAAAAATTTTCGGGCTCGATAACGAATTCAAGCGCACGATAATAAATAAACCGAACCATAAATATATTTTACATATTTTTAAATACACATTATTTCACATTAATAATTTAATAAGTCACGAAAATCAATTAGACAATTAGACATTTAGCATTTAATCACATTTGGCAATTAATTAATATTATGGCGTTCAAGAAAAATAAATATAAATATTATCACAAAAATAATAATAACAATAATAATAACAATAAAAATGATAATAATATTCTCAAATAATCCACAAATAAACGGGGCATTACAATAACGCCAACAATCTCTCACCTATACTTAAAGCTTTCGCTATTACAAGTATAGTCCTATCCATCCGTTATTCTAAAAGACCTATGTCTATCCTATTGCCATATACCTGACTCTCATTCCTTCCACGTGTTTGACGAAGACCTTCTCTGGCAAACTCTTCGTGAAAGGATCAGCTAGGTTGTCCTCTGATGCAATCTTGGCAACATCGACGTCTTCTCTACCCACGATATCTTGTATCAGATGGTACTTGCGCTATATGTGTTTTCTTGCTCAGTGGGCTCGTGGTTCCCTTGAGTTTGCTACTGCTCCACTGTTATCACAGTACACAGTGATACTCACCTCGAAGTCCACTAACAAGATCCTGAGCCAAACTGCCTCTTTCGCTGCTTCTGAGGCTGCTATGTACTCAGCTTCCATGGTGGAGTCTGCTACACTTTCTGCTTACCACTCCTCCATGAAACGGCTCCACCTCCCAAGGTAAACACATAACCTAAGGTTGACTTACTCTCATCCCTGTCTGACTGAAAATCGGAATCGCTGTAACCCTGCGGTAACAAGCTGTCCGCACGGTAAACTAACATGTATTTCTTAGTCCACTTCAGGTACTTCAGTATATGTTTCACCGCAGACCAATGTTCTCGTCCTGGATTACTTTGATATCCAGCTACCATGCCAACAACATAGCTAATATCCGGCCTCGTGTACATCAAAGCATACATAAGACTTTCTACTGCTAAAGCATAAGGAACTATCTTCATGTCTTCTATCTGTTGAGACGTCTTAGGAGACATCTCCTTGGATAGACCTATTCCATGTCTAAAAGGAAACATACCTTTCTTGGAATCCTGCATGCTGAATCTAGCCAAAACAGTATCTATGTATGTACACTTGGATAAGCACAACATTCTTTTCTTATGGTCTCAAACGACCCTAATACCAAGATTGTGTCCTGCTTCACCTAAGTCTTTCATATCAAACTGCTTAGACAACCACACTTTTACGTCTGATAACTCCTTCTTACTGCTTCCAATAAGAAGTATGTCGTCTACGTATAGTATAAGAAACACCACCACGCTCCCATTGATCTTCTTGTACACACAGTGCTTCTTGGACATTGAGTGAACCCGTACAATTGGATCACCTCTTCAAACCGGATGTTCCAAGATCTCGAAGCTTGCTTCAGTCCATAAATAGACCGATTAAGCTTACACACTAGATGCTCATGTCCCTTAGCAATAAATCCATCTGGTTGTTACATATACATGTCCTCCTGAAGGTTTCCATTGAGGAAAGTCGTATGAGCAGCTACAACCAAAAGAATCTGAATAGATTTAAGCATGGGTATTGGCGAAAAGGTCTCATCATAATTAATACCCTCTTTCTAGGTATAAACTTTCGCAACAAGCCTCACTTTGAAGGTCTCAACCTTCCCATCTGATCCTCTCTTTCTCTTATAGACCCACTTACATCAAATGGGTTGTATCCGATCGGGTGGTTCTACAAGATTCCAGAACTGCTTGGAGTCCATTGACCCCATCTTAGCTTTCATTGCAACATTTCATGAATCTGCATCTATATCTTGGAGTGCCTCATCATTGGTACTTGGGTCCGATTCTAGGTCTCCCAGAACTAAGTCCGATGACTCTCCAAGACCTATACATCGGTCAGGTTGGATAGAATTCCTCCCACTACGACAAGGTACTGTCTGTGTAGTTCCCCGTTCGAATATATTATATTATTATGTGAATAATATAATTATATAGCTCGTTCGATTTTATTTTACCGATTGTCGTTTAAATTTTCGGTTTAATCGCGTAAGGCGAATGATTGTCCGTTTTATTTTATTTTTGAACCGTTGTGACCCGAATTCCAAACCAACTCAACCAGACCCTTATTGAGTGGCCTTCGGCCCTTTTAAATGAGAAAAACCGGTCCCTATTTGTCTAAATCGAACCCTCTCGAATTGATGATGTGTTGATCTTATTTTTTTAAATTTTGAATTCAAAATTGGCTAAGGCTTTAAGGTTAAATCTTTGACCATACCTCCAGCCTTAATCCACACCATCCAGCCTTCTTATTGTCTAAGGGATCTCTAAATTATGCTAAGTTTGATAACCAAATGATTTGGTATTATCTCCATGCCTTAATATCCATTAAACACACTCCCATCTCTCCATTCTCTCTATTTCACACGCCCCAAACCAGACCTCTCAACCCTTCTCTCACCAGCAAATAGCCATCGCTTTTCTCTTTCACTCCATCGCTACTCCAAACGGCCACCATCGCACACTACCATCGCGAGGACACCTGTGCGCACGAGACCCCGAACGAACGACCAGTTGTTGTTTAATTCTTTCTCGGTTCATCACCCCCAGCAAGTCTCTCACTGCCATATCGACGGAAGTCCAGCCACGAGCACCCGCGAGAGCCGAGCGACACCGACGAGCCCCGCACACGCCTCCTTGCCCCGTTCAGCCTCTTTCTCGTTCCCTTCTTGTGATCTCACTTTGGTGAATGGTATAGATGGCTTATACACTCTCTTATTATGTGTTTATATATTATAAGTGAAGAACTTTTGTGTTAGGGTTCATATTGGTTGAAATAAATTGTTCAAATATTGAGGTTTATATGATTTAATGTGAAATCCATATAGACCTTGTTAAATCCGTGAATTGCGGTGGGAATATGGAACATTTGAGTTTCCTTGGCCTTATGATGAAGGCCTTGGTCGATTTTGATGGATATTGAGTCACTTATGAATTTTTAATGTGATCTAGTTTTTGAAAATGGGAAAAATCATATAAATTTTATACTCGGCCAAATCGAATGAAATTTGAGGGTGTGTTCCTGTATTGATTAGGGTCCTTGTGTAAAAATTTAATTTAAAAATTTGAACTATAGGTATGTGTTCTGATGATTTTAAATTCTGGCCTGTTTCTTGTAAAATCAATTTAAAATCGAGGTCTCGTCCTTTTTAGTTGAATTTTGGAGGTCTGTGATATTTGGGAATCATGGTTGTTGAGTAAAAATTTCAAGTTAAAACTCGTTCTGTAGCTATTAGAACTTGGAACTTCAAATTTGAATTGATATTTTGCAAAAATGTGTTCACTGGGTTAAAATAATTTTTAAGGGATTATCTCTGGTGTACTTGTGTGTTTTTTGCTGTATTTTAATGTGATAAACTTTTGTTGCAATCGGTCGAGTCGATTTTAAGAAGGTTCGGATGATATATCCAACCGGTTTACTGTGCAAGGCCTGCCAGTGCCCCTGCTAGGGCTGCCAGCACCCAGCAGCACCCTCTTCCCGCGCCTGTCCACGCCAAATGCGCCTGGTCGCGCCTTGCCGGGCCAACTTAAGCCCTTTTCTGTTTACCCCGAGTTATTTGACCTGTTTTGTGATCTGTTGACCTTGTTTTTCGTGTCGAGTCTATTTTTAAGGTTTTTAAATGATTTTTCCGAGTCTAGCTTGCAAAACCAAGTGTTCCAACTTCCACAAAACTTCAAGAACGACTTAGTCGATAATGTTCTACTAAGTATGATTATTCGTGATTTATTCTAAGAGTCTAGATATAAATGTTGATAAAATATCTTAATTAAATGTAGGTGTTTAACGAGTGGAGCTCGCACCCCTACTAACTTTTTGCGCTACTTCTCCCGCTGTTTCCAGGTGGGTTGATTTTATGAATATCTATGCTGTGAGTAATTGATGTTATATGTATTGTATAATCAATGTATGCATGTGAACCATGTAGCTTTCGATGTGAGCTATACCGGCCGTCAAACGGTTACCTCCGTGGCTATAGAATGGACCCCGTTGGTGTAATCTCCTTTTTGTACCCGTAAGACTAGGGCAGGGCCCTCGACCGGTGATATGAACCCCGTCGTAAGACCAAGGCAGGGGCCTTAGCCGTCGGGGGGGATACTCCTACTGTTTGGACATCGTTGTAAGGCCTGAGCGGAGGCATTCTATACGTGTATCATCAGTAGTCTATTAATATAGGTGTGCACATGAGGCTTGACTTTGGATAGGAGATGAGATAGTTCATTGATTCGTATACATGTTGCGACCATACATATCTGTCATATATATTTTGTTTATTTGCACAGTGGTGAGTACCACGAATTCCATATTGTGCTCATCCTCACTTTTTCTTTCCAGATTGAGCAGGTGGCAGGCATGACGGCGAGGCGAGGCGAGTGGTGGTTGGTTTAGACGACTAGATCATTGTTTGTTTTGCTTCCGCATTATTTGAGTTTATTTAATGACTTGGGATATTTTTCGAACTCCTGATATTTATGTCATTTGAAACACTTTGGGGAGATGCCCCGTTTGTCATTGTGATGACTTTATTATA